TAAGACTAGACGATTCTCACTGATCGAGAAACAAGTCCTTCAAAGGAACCTCATCTTTTCGCACAAAAATTGTCCCATCGTTCATCAGTCTATCATGCCACAAGACTGATCAATCAGGCTTTTGATCGAGGTAGGCTCATAAGGTAGCTCATTCTGTAGCGTCATATTAGACGTGCACATACACACCGAGCAGACGCACCCGAATGTCAATAAATCACTCGAGTCAAGTAACTGACCGCTCAACCATCGAGTCCCGTAGTCTTGAATCCAGAACTACATTGGTGACCCGGAAAGTTCACACGAGAACCCTCATTCGCCATGACGGAAAGCAGTTCAGAAATCAAATCCAGTTCGGCAATGACAACAAGTCTCAAGTCGGCGGAAGCCTTCAACGTGGCCGCAGCTTCGCTCACGCTGCCGACCTTCTGGCCACAAAACCCGGACGCCTGGTTCGCCAAAGTTGAAGCACAGTTCAGAGGAGCCAAAATCACGGTCAGTGAAACCCGCTTCTACAAAGTTCTCGCCGTGCTCCCCGAGAGCGCTGCAATCAAGGTCCGTGAAATCACTCACAAGCCCCAGTACGAATCAGGGGACTACGATAAACTCAAACAAAAATTGATTAGGAGTGGCCAGCCGTCGACCCTGGAACGTCTGGATCGATTAGGTGAGTTGAGGAACATTCGACACAAGCTACCTTCGGAAACCCTTTTGGACTTGGAGAACATATTTCACTCTGCGGAATCTAAGCTCGGGATGCCGATGAATGACTACATGAAGAAGTTCTGGTGGTTACGAGCCCTTCCCATGGGAATCCAACAGGCTCTACTTCCTGTGGCGGAGAATACTTCGTTGAGTGACCTCACCGCAATCGCAGATCAAATGTATTCGTCTCACCCTCCAGACTCAGTCTCTGAAATATCCCAGGAGCCTCGACCCGGCACAAGTCTAGAAGAATCAATCCCGATTGACCCCGTTTCTGACGCTTATTCCGACGAAAATAACATTTCTGCTGTCTCCAACAGATACAGAAATCCCCGTCCGCAACGCAAAGAACAACTCCTATGCAAGTTCCACATCAGGTTCGGAGATAATGCAAGGCGCTGTGTGATCGGGTGTTCGAGGTATGCGCCACACTCAAAAAACGCGCACGGGTCGGCTTCATCGCGGCAGTGAAGTACGACCCAACTTCAAAACGATTATTCGTCGTAGACAAGCTCTCGGGTCGCAGATTCCTCATCGACACAGGAAGCGACGTCTCAAGTATACCCCACGAGAACAGATGTTCGACTCCATCACAAGAAACGATTCTCTTCGCCGCCAATAACTCACCAATCAGAACGTTTGGAGAAAAAACGTGCATCATCGATCTTGGATTCAGAAGACCCTTGGAATTCACCTTCATCACAACAGATATTCCTCAGGCCATCATAGGTGCGGATTTCCTTTCCCACTTCAATCTCGCTCCGGACCTAGCATCAAGGCGACTGGTCGACCTAACCTCACTCGCATCCAGCAAATGCCGAGTTACCCATCATCCTCCTATAGGATTGAGCGCTGTGCAAAGCTCCTTTTCTCCAGCCATATCAGCCCTACTGTACAACTTCAAAGAAGTCACGGGCGAATCTTCAGCCAAGGCCACCGGAGACCAATCGACATTCCACCACATAGAGACCAGGGGTCGTCCAGTAACATGCCGTGTACGTCGCTTGGACCCGTCCAAACTCTCAATCGCGAAAATGCATTTCGACCAAATGGAGAAAGACGGCGTGGTCCGCCGCTCCAAAAGTTCTTTCGCTTCACCATTACACATGGTCCCGAAATCTGACGGTTCGTGGCGACCCGTCGGCGATTTTCGCGCTCTGAATGCAATAACAGTTCCGGACAGATACCCAGTCCCCCACCTAGAGAATTTCGCATTCAGGCTCGAGGGCTGCCGGGTTTTCAGTTCGATAGATCTGACCAGAGCATTCCATCAAATTCCTATGGCCCCAGAGGATATATACAAGACGGCAATTCGTACGCCGTTCGGATTATATGAATTCTTGCGTATGCCTTTCGGGTTACGCAACGCGGCGCAAACCTTCCAAAGATTCATGGACCTAATCACGCGGGACCTTGAGTTCGTTTTCGTATATCTAGATGATATTCTGGTTGCATCTCGCGATGAAAATGAACACCTTCGCCACCTAGAGCGACTGTTCACCTGTCTGAGAACAAATGGACTGGTCATCAACGTCAACAAGTGCAGGTTTGCAGTTCGAGAGCTCCGCTTCTTGGGTCATTCAATCTCAGCCGAGGGTTTGTCACCCCTGAAGGACCGGATCGAGGCGATTTGTGGCTTTCCACGTCCCAATACAGTTAAGCAACTTCAACGCTTTTTGGGAATGGTGAATTTCTATAGACGATTCATCAAAGACATAGCCAGAACACTGATTCCGCTTTACGTCCTCACTAATAAAAAGAAACTTGAATGGTCAGATACAGCTCAGGAAGCCTTCGAGCAAGCCAAGAAGTCCCTTGCAGCTTTCACCATGCTCAATTTCCCGGACAGCAACTCCAAGCTTTCGCTAGCAGTAGACGCGAGCGACACAGCTGTAGGAGCGGTTTTGCAACGAGAAGACCCGACGACTCAAAAATGGCTCCCGCTTGGATTCTTCTCGCGAGCACTAGATGCAACGCAGAAAAAGTACTCAGCCTTTGACAGGGAGCTTCTGGCCATCGTCCTTGCAATCAAACACTTCAGATTCATGCTTGAGGGTCGACAATTCACTGTCTTCACAGATCACAAACCCCTAACGACTGCAATCACTTCATCGGCAGAAAGATCGCCTCGCCAAACTAATCACCTCGAATTCATATCGCAATTCACGACGGACATCCAACACATAAGAGGAGAAGACAACTCGGGAGCTGATTCGTTGTCACGGTTTAATCAGATAGACGCTATCATTCGACAGATTCCTTCCCCCTGGACTGTGGAGGAAATGTGCGAGGCTCAAAAAGAGGATGAGGAGCTATCCAGGTTGAAAACTTCGACGACTATGAAGGCAATCAGCGTCACACCGACTGTTCGTCTAATCTACGATACCTCCGGCTCGAAATACCGTTTGTACGTCCCCTTACGCTACAGACGCACAGTTTTCGAACAATATCACAATGTCAGCCACCTAGGAAGCAGGCCGATGAGGAGACTCCTGGGCGGACTCTACTTTTGGCCCACGATTTCCTCAGACATCGGCGAGTGGTGCGATAGCTGCATAGCCTGTCAAGCTTCGAAGATTACGAGACACACGAAAACAGCCCCACAAATAATACCGATGCCGAAAGCCCGCTTCTCACACGTCCATGTCGATATCGTCGGACCGCTGTCTCCTTCGAACGGGTTCAGATATCTACTGACGATGGTGGACAGATTCACACGTTGGCCCGAGGTCTGCCCCATCTCGAACATGGAAACTACGACAGTCGCATCAGCACTCATCAGTACCTGGATATCAAGGTTCGGAGTTCCAGACACGATCACGACGGACCAAGGTAGACAATTCGAGAGCCGTCTGTTCAAAGGTCTGAACGATCTCCTGGGTTGTAATCGAATTTGGACTTCAGCGTACAACCCTCGCGCAAACGGAATGGTAGAGCGATTTCATCGTCAAGTGAAAGATTCGCTACGCCGCCACTTCGCTGAAAACAATTGGAGCGAATTCATCCCCCTAGTCCTGCTTTGGTTCCGAGCGACACATAAAGAGGACCTCCATGCGTCCCCAGCGGAATTAGTCTTCGGCCAGAGCATCACGCTGCCTCCCGATCTCCGAGGAGAGCCTTCAGGAGTTATCGTCGATCCTACAGATTACGTGAGCGTCCTCAAGGACATTATGGAAAAAATCAAGAGTTGCACATCGAGACCAGCCTCGAAACCTAAGAGTTTTATTCCCCGACGTCTTGCGTCCTGCGACAACGTCTTTCTTCGGACAGACGCAACGAAAACACCCTTACAACGACCATACACGGGGCCATATCGCGTCATCGCCAGAGACAGCAGCACCTTCAAAATACAGACGCCCGGCGGAAGAACACGAGTTTCGATCCAACGTCTGAAACCTGCTAGAGTAGATCCAGAAACCGTTGTTTTCGATTTACCCAAGAGGCGTGGACGCCCCTCTAAAAAGAGGCCTCCACTGGAGGGGGGTATTGTAGCGTCATATTAGACGTGCACATACACACCGAGCAGACGCACCCGAATGTCAATAAATCACTCGAGTCAAGTAACTGACCGCTCAACCATCGAGTCCCGTAGTCTTGAATCCAGAACTACAATTCTATAGAAAACCGAGATGTCAATGAAAGTTCAGCAAAGCAACCGAAGCTGTTAACGACGCTCGAACTAGAATCCATCGGGGGAGTCGTTCGAAGCCCAGTGCACTTTGAGACCGGAATCCGGCATTGGAAGAAAAGTAGGTTCACGATGGTATTTCAAGGAAGAAGCAAAACGCAAAGCTGATTGACGACACTCTCAAAATCTTAAATCTTTACCTCTGGGGGAATACTGTTGGCATATACAATAATAACTTCAATAAAATTATAACACAATTACTTCAGACGTTTTCACGCAAATTTGCGGTAGTAGCTCGCTACTACCTTCGGGTTTTTTTTTCCTTTTTGGCGTGTTCCGCGAGGGCCAGGCCTTCTATCTTTGAGGGGCGACAGTGACAGCGCGGCCTTATTCTTGGAATAGTGTGGCCGTCGCTGAAACTATCGGAGATACTCATATTGTAAGGGTTCAGAAAAACATCAGCCTGTCATTTTGACAGTGCAGTAGGTATAGTCTGAGTCGCTTTTTGAATAATGGTACAGAGTCTGTGGTTCGGATGTCGGGTGGGAGATTGTTCCATAATCTGGCTGCTTTTACATAGAATGATTTCGTGCCGGAGGTCGTGTTCCTCTTTTGGATTTTGATGATTCGTGTCTCTGTGGCTCGGGTACTTCTGCTCGTTCCGAGGAGTTCAAAATTCGAGCGTTTGCGGGCCTCTGTGGGTGAGCTGTTGATGAATGAAGGTGCAGAGGTTGTACGTAATTGCCAGCGGTAGCGGCAGGATGTCCATTTCTGTCAACAGTTTTTTGCCAGTCTTGCTGAGATCTGGCTGGATAATTCTTATGGCTCTGCTTTGTTGCCTGTGAAGGCGTAGTAGGTTTTTCTTCGTCGACATACTCCAGAATCCAGGGCAGTAGTTTAGATGCGATTGAATGTAAGCTTCGTAAACGAGTTTTCCGATTCCCACTCCTGCCAGTTCACATAGAGTCTTGACAATGTAAGTGGATCGCTTCAGTCTCTTCGTGAGCTCTTCACAGTGTAGGCTTGCGTCGAGTGACTCATCCAGGACGCAGCCAAGAAACTTCGCCTTCCTGACCTTTGCCAATGCAGCTCCATCTAACACGACGCTCAGATCGGGTGTCGGCTGGTTTCCTCGAGCGAATGTCATGTAGTTGGATTTCTGAATATTCAACATCATGAAGTTTTCCTCGCACTATTTACTGATGCTCGTGAGATCTGCCTGCATTTTGGCTTCCAACTCCTCTCTCGTATCACAGATGTAGACTACTGTTGTGTCGTCCGCGAAGATGTTCACCTCTCCGGTGCATACCTTCGGGAGGTCGTTAATGACTATGAGAAAACATATCGGCCCGTGCAGGCTCCCCTGCGGCAAGCCCGTAGTGATTGGGAGGAGGGGGGATTTGACAGTTGCCGTCTGTACACTTTGCATTCGGTCAGACAGGTAGGAGCCGATTAGGCCACGAGCCTTGTCACCCACTCCATAACAGCCCAATTTTTCTAACAGAACCTGTTTCCTAACAGAATCAAACGCCTTCGTCATATCAATCAATAGTAGACCACAGACTTTACCACTGTCCAGCCCTAATTTAATACTCTCTATCGTACTGTACACTGCGTGAGCGGTACTCCTGTTCTTTCGATACCCATATTGACGTTCATACAGTAAGTTGTTACGTTCGAAATGCTTTGTGAGTTGTGTGACTAGAGTTCTTTCGACGACTTTGTTCAGCACGGGCAGTACCGAGATGGGGCGGAAATCATTTGTGGTTGACGGGATCTTTACCTTGGGAATCGGGACCACTCTTGCTCTCTTCAGAGCCTGAGGGTATTCGGAGGACTCTATGATCTCATTTACAATCTTCAGTAGTGGTTTCGCGATTTCGTCGGCGACGTTTTTTACAGTGTGTGCGGTAATCCCGTCGAGGCCTGCTGATGGGTTACCTAGCGTGCGGATTGATTGTAGGAGGTCTTCTAGGGTGATCTTTTCGAATTCGAACGGGCGCTGAAGCCATGGATTGATGTGCCTCCCGAGGGCTGCTGCATCCGGGGCTCTACTCGGGTAGAAATTTGCACAACTCACGAAATGTTTGTTTAACTCGATGACCAGGTCCTCTCCCTCTACTTGTCTCGCTCCTGCACTGATTTTCGCTGGTAGTGCAGCAGTGTCCGCCTTCCTGAGTCTCTTGAGGACTTTCCAGGATGCAGTCAGAGATGTATGGCAGACGGGATCTTGCTCGTAGGGGTTTTCCCCCGATGCAGCCTTGACTCGCTCTTTCGATGTTGCCGAATAAAATTTCGTGGAACCCAGAATACTTCCCGCTGGCTGTTCCTAGGTTGTCGATGAAATCCCAGGTTTCTAGCCGCAATCGTTCCTTCAGCCTGTCAATGTTGATTCGTCGTTCTCTCTTGTCTCGTTCCTGGGGACTGGTGGTACTGATTTCGCATTGGAGAGCTCTGTGGTCGCTGAGTTTCATTTCAATCAGCTCAGCCGATGCGTTGGGTATGTTGGAGTAGAGGTGATCCAAATTTGCGCCAAAGGCTGGCCTAGTGATGTCTTCAACTCGATTTCTCCATCCATGGCTCGTCAGAATTTCTTTGACTCCTGCCGATTGAGGTGAGAGCCAGTTTATGTTCGTGTCGCCCACTATAATGCCTTTCGCGCTTCTCATTTTGATGATTTGCTCGTCGAGTTCATCTTCGAATGCTTTTATGTTGTTTTTCGGAGGTCTGTATACCACTGAGACTTGAAGTTTAGGCTTGATGTTAGAGATTCGGAAAACGAGGTTCTCAGCTACTGTCTCGGACATTCTTTGATCGTCCATCGTTTCGATATGGTATCGATTCTCGATGAAGGCGAAGATTCCTCCTCCTCTGGATTGTTTCTCACGTCCGCAGCTCAGCCTCTGGTATCCGTCAATGTTGTACGTCGTTGTTTCATTCTGCGACAGCCATGTTTCAATTAGCAAGATTATCACAGGCTGGGGGTTCAGCTGGGTCAAACGGGAGCAGAATTCTTGAAATTTCGTTCTATTTCTTATACTTCTGATGTTTAAGCAGATAATATTGATTTTATAGTTGCTTTCTAGCGTGGTGGTGTTGTGTTGCGTTTGGCGTAATCGGGTTAGATGATAGGTATAATATTTTGATTCGTACGGACAGCTTCTTCCTTACTGCAGTTTCTCCAGGTCTGCGATGCAGCTGATCCCTATGGGTGGGGATTTCTGCTGCTTTCTCACGTAGACTCTGTCCATATAGGTCCAAGCTGTATGGACCTTCTTCTCTCTCTTCAGCATGATGGCTCTCTGTAGCAAGATTTTGGTCGGCTTCGAGATTGCCTCGTTTACGAACACTGGTGAATCTTCAAATTTTTGTGGGAGGGAATTCAAGTCGGCGAATTTCAACCCCGTCTTCGTTTCCAGCTGAAGGTCCTTCAGCGTGGCTTTGGCTATTCTGGCTGCTTCAATCACCTTCCCTTTCGCTATGTTAGTAGAGAGTTTCACTTTCAGGAAACATCGTTTCTTGTCATCGACTTTTGTCTCGAATCTGCTTGCCGATAGTATTTGACAGTCACTGAGTCCAGCCTCTAGGCTGCTGAAGACAGCCTCGGCGATTTTCACAGGATCTTCTTGCGCCAACGGCGGCACATTGCTGATGATAACCTCGCTTCGCTCTTCTGTCGTCTGTCTTGGAAGTTTCTCGAGCGCCTTCACTTTGCCGCTCGATTCCTTCAGTCTAGCCTTCAATTCGGAGACTTCGTCAATTTGGGATGAGAACATGTCTATCACAGATTGGAACTGGTCGAACTTCTTTTGCCATTTGCTGTCTAGCTCAGAGATTTTGCTCAGAATTTTCATCATGAGTTTCTCGCTTGTTATCTCCGTCGGGGAGTCGTCTTCTTGCTCAGAGTCTGAGCTGGCAAGACAATCGTCACATACGAATGTTTTGCGCAGCTTTTTGTCCTTATCCAGACTTGCTTTGGAGACCCCAGAGCATTTCTTCGTCTCATGCAGCTTCGCATGGCATCGCACACAGGCGAGGCCATCCTTCTTGATGGTCTGCTCACACTTCGCACACTTATCCATCCCAAAACACTTGTTCAGAAGTTGCCTAGTCTTACTCCGATCTGATTGACTGGCCAGGCTCGTGATTTTGACACGGATTTTCCGACTTTACCAACTTTTTTGTCGGACTCGTAGTTCTCGTGGCTTGTTTGTAAGCAAGCAGATGACGAACTGACCGATGGCCGTGGGGATCACAAGTCCCTGGATGCTGAGCTCCGGGTGCACCCCACTGCCGGGTTCGTTAAAGTCTAATACAGCAGATTTTTTCGGGTTAAAGACCAGTCTTAACTCGTTTCCCACTTCTGTGGTGATCTGCAGCAGTTGTTCCATTTCAGACCAGGAGTGGACTAGCAGAAGGAGATCATCTGCGTATAGCAGATCCATGTAGAGCCCGCGTTTACCGAGCTGTATCCTCTTCGGAGTCTGGAATATTTCAATCGTTTTGAAGTACTCTCTCCGAGGTGTCATATGACAGGTGGCTCCGCTGTCGCAGATCCATCGAGTCGACTCTCGAACGTCCACGGCGGCTCCCAGCGCGTGAGCCAGGAAGCCGGTTTTCGGCATGACATCCTTGACCGATGTGCATTCGCGAGCCCAATGGCCAAGCTGATGGCATTTCCTACATGGGAACTTCTTCCTTTTCTCTACGGATTTGTCTTTCTTATTCGCTTCGTATTTCTTACTTGGTAACAGCTGCTTTCTGCTGGCTACGAATGCTTGCTCGGTGGGCACGGAATCTCGTTTCTCGATATTACACAATTTCTCGATTAGCAGATTTACCGTTTGTTCACCAGCTGGAATGGTGTCCCATACGTCACGGAAGCTGTTGTATTCCTTCCCGAGCGTGGACATGATTCGCAGCGTCAGCATTATCTCCGAGAGCTCATTCTGGTGATGTTTCTTCAGTTCGAGGTTCATGTCCATGAAAAGCTTCTGGAGAGTCGCTATGTGGGTGATCATGTCCTCGGAATCGTCCTTCTGAAGTCTGTAGAATTGCTCGACGAGCGAGTCCAGCCTCTGTTTCGAGCTCCTCTCAAACCTCGCACACAGTATCTTCCAGATATCATTGGACGTATCACAAGTCAGTACCAGCTTCGCGTTTTGATCACCAAGAGCTGTTGCTATTGAGCTCACCGCTTTTGCGTCCTTCGTTAACCATTTTTCGAGGTTGTCCCCAGCCGTCGTCGTAGGCCTAACTTCCGCCCCGGTCACGACGGGTTCGAATCGATGCGCTTTGAGGAGATGCTTCATCGTCCATTTCCATTTGGCCCACTCGTCTTGAGTATTGAGCTTCGCAACCTTAGGTGTCATCCATTTTCGCTTCCTGATGTCGAGCAACGAGGACGACTGCGCGATCCTTCCGTTTCCAAGCGAATTCCTCCTTATTCACGTGTTCCTACCCTCAGAGCCGTTCTTGAACGCTGCAGAAACGAGCTAAGCCCATAACCTGTTGTGTTTCTCTGAGCGACGGGGTAATTGGAATTACCTAAACGGCTGGGGATGGAGAACACGACTTCGCGGGAATTTTTCCGACTCACAACTCATTGTTTTATTTCGGCGCGTCTGCTTCAACTGTCTACACGCGGGAATATTCGAAATTGTATCTGTATCACAATAAGTTATTCTGATGATCTCATTCTTTCACAACAGGCGTGTCTTCCTGAGCGCCCTGTTCTGTTAGAGCCCACAAACCGGTAGCCCTTGATTGTCGGAGGTGTCTCATCATTCATCAACCATGTTTCACAGAGGAGGATTATCCCTTCCTCCGTGTTTTCGAACGCATTCATCATTAGTTTCGTCCATTTGCTCTTCGTCTTGCCCCCACCTAGATTGAAAACACAGATTCTTAGGGTGGTTGATCTCACATTAGACTTCTTATTTTTTGTGCCTCTGTACCTCACCCTTTTTGGTCCGTCAATCTGAGCTTTCTTTCGCTCTGGTCGGCAGGACTCCTCATCCTATCTATAGCCCGGCTCAGACCACTCGGGCTTCGGGTAGGTTTTTCCTCTACTCCTCGGGTTACCCCTTTGTGGATAGGGGGCCGGTGCGTTTCCGCGGGGGACATCGCCTCTCCACCCCGCACCTCTCTGCCCTCGGCCGACGCGACCGCGTGCAACCGGACCTGTAGCTCCCCTAGTCCACTTATACTGGTGGCCAGAACTTCGCGCCTGCGGCTGGGAGAAGCTCGGCCCAAGCATGCTCTCTCGTACCTGTCTATCGGTACCAACACCATTTCTGTAGGACCCTTCGTGACCGTCCATCGTGCTCTTCCCGCGTTTTTCCCCAAACCAAGATGTCGTCAACAACAACTGTGACTCCATCCTGGCCTCAGAAGATTTCGTCCGTCATCCTCTGGAATTCGTCAGATGCAGTTAGGATTCCGAAAGGCATTATTGCTAACGAATTCGGTTGGTGTTTTCACCGCCGCAATGACGCCTTTCATGAGCATGCGGTCCAGTTCGTTCTTGAAAGCTTCTTCCAGTGCTTGCGGTATAGGTCTATACGGGTTTGCAACCGCGTTGTACGAATCCTTCAGCTGTAGATGACATTCGAACCCCTTGATGTCGCCCTTCCCATTGAAGACATTCAATCCAACTCTTATCGCTCTGCGTCTTGTTTTCTGCAAGTCTTGCAATCATCCCTAAAGACTCGCACGCATCGCCACTGAGGGTTGAGGCGACAGGAGCGTCAACAATGAAGAACTTGCTTGCTGAGCGGTCACGGACGCGAACCGTCAAGTCTACGACACTTTCGGATGGATACTCATCCCCGAAATACGATACCAATCGTGTTCTCGTCCCCCGAGGTCTCAGGTTGCTGTTCTTTCCCATCATCGAGTCGAATAGAACTTTCGGGATAACACATACCTCCGTACCCGTGTCAATTTTGACCGCAACGTTCACCTCACCGAGTTGTACTGTTTCCCCCCCAACGGATCCTTGGTTGTGGTTCTTTTTCTCCGTTGTCGATTTTGCAAATTGATTTCAGCCGAGAAGTCGACTCTACGGCCCACCTACTACCCACGACTGCCTACGCTGATGGCATTGATTTCGAATCGCTCTTCCGATGATTCTTCATCGGTCCAGTTTTCGTCGTGCTGTATCTGTTGTAGGAAATTCTAGAATAGCTACACTCAGTCTTCTAAGCAGAGCGTTTCCTATGTCTCCATATATAGAGTTGAACCTGTTTCGTTCTATTACTGGCGACCCGTTACCGTAGGGTCTCTTCTTCCGGATGCTACCCGGAACATCTTAACCATTACCTTACATGTCTCGACTAGCAGGAAAGAGCTGGGCTCACTAGTATATAAGACCTGAGTCTCTTCAATAAAATCACTGTGGTGTTTGCCTCTACACTTTCTACTGAACCTCTGGGTGTTCTCCTTGAGTGCGTGAGCTACTGTACGTCCGAACCTAACCTTCGACCAAGTTACCACATCAGTATCATATTCACTCGTCTCTGAAAGCTGCGTGGTCTCGCCCGACCGCCCAAATTGTTGTTCTGTTTACGCTGTCCGTTCGCGCTGTTTCTGCAGCAACGGGCCAGATGACCTTCACCATTGCACAGGTATCATCTCATTTTGCTCGCCCAGCACTCATTTCCCTCGTGATTGGTCGCACATTTCTGGCACGCGGCACCACCAATCAGAAATCCTACCACTTGGCCGCGGATCGTCATCGCCAGGCTTCTGTTACTCTTAGTTCTATGGAGGCGGAGCTGGTGGGCCTTTCCGAGACTCTGAAAACATCAAAATGGACCGCGCGCTTACTGTCCGAGCTCGGTCACTCAGTGGTTCCAAAGATATGTATACGTTGATAATCAGGCAACAATCTAAGTGGATCGAAAGCCTCAGTTCCACAAACGGTCAAAGCATATCGAGGTGAGACACTATTTCATTCGAGAGAAATTACAACGAGGCGAAATTTCAATTCATTATTGCCCAAGCAAACTGAATATCGCCGATATCCTCACGAAAGCCTTAGAGAGACCAACATTCCAGAAATTGCGGAAATTAACAAGTGGAGAGATCCAACATGAAGACTGTTGTGACGATACTGATGCTCATCATCAGTGGAGACGCGTTCTTTGACTACTCGAACTGCAAGGCGGAATGCCAGGAGCTGGAAAAGCCCTGCATCATCTCAGAAACGAATCCGGATGTGTTCCCATGTGAATGCATCGAGATGGAGGCAGGATGCCTCAGACTCTCATCGCCCGAAAGGGTATGCTTGCGGATCGACAGGCCGCCCGTCAGAGGCGAAGAGATTTGGAACGATTTCGATAGACACATCCACCCAACGACATTATCTCCACCAGGCCCAACGCCTGCTCCTCCTGCCGGGTCCGACACGTGACTCGAATTCGAATCGCCGGATCAAGTTCATGATTGGATACTCAATCCTGTCATCATTCTCATTTCTCGTATTCGGCAACATCTCACTGATCAGAAGGATTAGGAAGAGGAGAGAAAGCTCCTATGCGAGTTTGCCGGAGCCACCCGCGGGGGGGCAAGACGGACCGTACTTCGATACTACGGAACCGATCTGATATGGCATGTTCTCTTGTACATATGAATTGAAACTCATATCCCAAAAATAATCGCACTCAAAAAAGACTGGTTGACATGTCCTTTTAATCAGAACATGTGAGAATGGTATGATTTCCGCATGACGGGACGAAATACTTGAATTCCCGACTACCCAGATTACAGTCGGCCTCGGTGGGCAGAGAAAGATCTCCATGTAGTAGGATACATTGCCGATCGATGTCGGACACACATTTCCAGAAACGGCCGTCTCGCAGGCACTTGAATTTTCCTATGCTGATCCTTTTGACCAGTCCTTCGAGGGTCGTCATGATCGTCGGGCTTGGGCATTCGTCGTGGCCTAGATTGGGTCAAGATTTGGAGAAATTTTTTTTGATCGATATATTTTGGGATCAGAATGGAGAATTCGAAGTGCGAAACTCACAAATCTGTATCACCATCAGGAAGATGCAGAGGAGGAACATCACCCCGGATAGCAATTTCCATTTGCACAACGGGCTAAAATGGGGGTTGACCTTCTTTGCACTGATCGGGAGCAGTGAATGGCGGCTCGGTTTGAACGAGAGGGCCTGTGGTGCGTCTCGGGGTCTTGAGGAGTTTTCACTCGATGGATTGGGGGTTCGTCTAGCAGTCATCAGCGTGAACAGTTCGCTCAAATCGCGATAATGAATATTGATCCAGTGAGGCTTCTTAAGTAAGCCTCAGAATTGAGAGAGGATTTCGAGGAAAGATGCGAAATTATCGGTCAATCAGAGATATGAGAAGCTCTGACAAATTGAGCGGACATTTGGTCTGAATTGATAAATGGAAATCTCAAAATTTAATCGCATGCCAGTCTCGATGGATAATGCCCAGACTGAAGCCTACATTCGCGCACTTCATTGCTTGATTACTAACGGCACTGAGGGATGGCTTAGATAAGGTAACCTCAAGCAAAGCTTGGAGATTGAGAATCAGCACCATGTCTGGAAGTCGATATACCGTTTCTTCTAGCCTCACGCGGAGATGGCTTAGATAAGTGAAACAGAAGTCTAGCTTAGATAAGCTAAGCGAGTCAGCGTCATGTATGAGAAAGCAACGCCCGAACCATAGAAGCGTTCGTGGAGCGGATGAGAATAATGATTTGTCATTAGAGGCAAAAGGGTTGATTCATCAAGCCCCTAGTTTTTCTGTGTAGGGGGGAGTTGATGGGCTAAAGTAGCTACCCAGAAAAATTCTAACGACCATGGGTTGACTCACGGTGTCCAGACCGGACGCTGAAACAATGACTTCAGTATTTTGTAACGTAGTGTAAGTTCAGTGACCGTCATAATTACTGTGGACGGGTTACTGACTTGACCCTTTCCTTCCAGCACTATATAAGGCATAATAAAGATCAGTACTAGTGGGGGAGCCTTCGGTATTTCACACCAAGCAGTGTTCGTCTTCATTAGCCGTTGTCCCAGTTGCATCAAGCACAGCATCGATTCGAGCTCACCGCAGCCAGAGCTAGTAGGCTAGATAGCCGAGAAAACCTATCACTTATGCTTGTTGAGGACATTAGGGTGGTGAGATGCTATGACTTCTCGGACCATCTGCCAGTGTTCTTCTCGATTCGTGCGGACAGACCTACCCTCCTCGGTCCTTCGAGAGGGCATGCCCGCAGAGTTTTCAGCGCTAAAGACTACTCTGCTTTTTATGCTTCCCTCACGGCTCAGGACTGGAATCTGTTGCACTGCTGTACAAATGTGGATGTTGCCTATGAGCGCCTGACAGCATCTCTCTTTGCCATCTACAACAGATGCTTCCCTCTTGTCCCAGCGATTTCGACCAATCAGCGTAGCACCTGGTTCTCAAATTCTCTCAAGGCTATGAGGCGTTAACTTAATATCTACGGCTTCAAATTTTTCGAGCTCGGGCTTCTTCGTGAAAAGTGTCGCTTCTACTCCTACCTAAAGAAATATCGCAAACTCATCTCTCTTGCTCGTACCACATATACCGTTCAGATTGTTTCTCGCATGGGTCGTTCTGGTAAAAAGCTCTGGCGATTTATAAACTCTTCTTGCGGCAGGAAGAGGGGGTCAGAGGTGGCATTCGGTTTGCCAGATGATACTGCTGACTCCATCAGGCGTCTTTTTTTTTTGCGGGGCCAGGAATAAAAATGCGTGTTGCAGACCGTGCACAGCGCCTCACGGTACTGTGGGAGTCGCAAACCCACTAAAAACCTGGTGGTTCCCCAACCCCCGCTTTCGGGCGGGGGCGCCGCTCTCACGGACGGAACTGGGTTAGCAATACTTCGA